CCTGAATTTGCGGGTCAGCGACCGCACAAAATATCAGAAGCCCTGACTTTACAATGTGTGTGCATCTCTGATCCATTTGAGGATGTTATCCTCATTCTTTAGAATGACTGACTGCATGCTGCAAGAAGATATATAATATTCATCTCGTCACAGGCCTTCTAAAGGGAAAGAAAAACAAGAATTTGCTAAAATGTGTTTGACTCCATAATAAACATACTTGATGTCATGGCCTTGAACTCTCAAATCCTTTTTAAGTCTATTTCCTGAGGGAGATCTTGCATGAATACCCTGACAAAACACCATCATAAAAAAAAAATTAAAAACAGTTGAGAACACAAAGTCTTGCTTAATTCAGTTATACCACTTACCAATAGATAAACAGAATTTTATGTATGTTATACATAAGGTTATTAAGGAAAACAGGTTTTTAGTCGGGAACATGTAATTACTTTTAGACACCCTACAGCCTAAAAATACCATGGAAGGTAATATGATTACCAATCGACTGACTTGAAACCATTCAAAAAGTTGTTAATTAATATTTCTTACCGTTTGTACACGAGGTTTAACATGATCATAGGGAGTTGCACGTTTTCCATGAGTCTGAAGCTGTTGCTTGGCAACCATGAGCTAAAAAAAATAGGGGAAAAATGACTGTGACTGTAGTGAAGTACATGAACATTATGAAGGTCAGAAACTAACTAATACAATAATTATCAATTCTCCGTTTTCACATGACATTAACAAAATTCAAACTAAGAAACTATCAATTCTTCTGAGTGTCTACTTTCATGAGACACTACAGCAGCGAAACAATCTTATTTATACAAATTTTCAATTTGAAAGGGTTCTTTGTTTTGCATTTCCAAGCTTTTGTGTGATGCAGCATTTAGCTTGCGGCCAGGAGAGCTCTTATGTGGGTTAATAAAAACGTTATCAATTTTTTGAGATTTTGCAATCTAAACTTCCTTTGCCTCAGAAGAAAATTAATATTACTTTAATCTTTGTGAGTTCCTCAAGCAATGAATTCATGCTTTTGTACGAAAACTGAGAGACAGATGTTTCTGTTGGTTTCCTGGCCACCATATTATTTTGTGCCCCTCAAAGGGACACCAACATGGCATCTCCATACAAATCTTTGTAAATTTGGGTAAACCTCTTTTCAAAATATCCTGCATATGAAATGTCACACAGTCTTGATTCTTAGCAGGGCTTTTTGCATATTTATCTTCTTTCACTTCCCATATTCTAAAGTTAATTCTGTATTTGATGGTTTGCATTTTATAACTTTGATTACATGACAGTGAAAACAGAGAAGTAGTTACATTATTGTACAGTATAATATGTTCGTGGCATATAAATGTTATGGTTCAGCTATTTAATGCAGTTGACATGACAGCTTAACAATCTTAAAGTTGTTTACTGTGCAAGATTACATTTTGGTCAGCTAATTCTGGGAAATCCTTAGAAACGGTGAACAGAAAAATCATAATACGGTACCTTGTTTTTCAGTCCAGCATTTTGTTTCCCAAGTTCCACAATCTTTGTTTCCAAGTCAGCAATCTTCTCTTTTGAATCCACATCTCGTGCATCAGAAACTACTGACAATAAAATCATAATAATTAGTATGATTTTAAAGAAAGTGAAAAAAAACTAAATCACAAAGAGCAACTGAATCATCATTCACATGGTTCTGGTTTACTATTATGATTTAGTCATTATAGACAGTGCCAGGCACATCATATAAAGAAACTGTTTGATCAGCACAGTTTAATTTTAAAACAATGAGCTTAAAAAAACAAAACAAAACAAAATACTATGCAGCAACAAAGGTAGTGTGCATGCTAATTAACACAGCGGGAAATGTTAAAAGTAAGTTACAGGTGACTGTATACAGTACCTCCCTCCATAGCCTCCTTCTTCTTGTCATGAACCAAGCGAAGAAGTTTAGTTGCCATCCTTCAAAAACAATGTCACAGAGTAACATATTTTAATTTTTAATCAAATTATTACTGTACATTAAATAAGTTGCACAGGGAATCAGATAGTTCATAAACAAGGCTGTCTTCTAACAAAGATTGAAGGAAGCCCATTGCTCTGAACCAGTGCAATAAAGAGTATCCAGNTTAGTCATTATAGACAGTGCCAGGCACATCATATAAAGAAACTGTTTGATCAGCACAGTTTAATTTTAAAACAATGAGCTTAAAAAAACAAAACAAAACAAAATACTATGCAGCAACAAAGGTAGTGTGCATGCTAATTAACACAGCGGGAAATGTTAAAAGTAAGTTACAGGTGACTGTATACAGTACCTCCCTCCATAGCCTCCTTCTTCTTGTCATGAACCAAGCGAAGAAGTTTAGTTGCCATCCTTCAAAAACAATGTCACAGAGTAACATATTTTAATTTTTAATCAAATTATTACTGTACATTAAATAAGTTGCACAGGGAATCAGATAGTTCATAAACAAGGCTGTGTTCTAACAAAGATTGAAGGAAGCCCATTGCTCTGAACCAGTGCAATAAAGAGTATCCAGCATTATGGTTTTTATGAGAAAATAAAGATTTTCTAAACAACCAGGAGCTAGGTGCCAGAGCAGCCACTGGGACCTGCTAGAGCACAGCCTTGGTACAGAATATATAAACTGCAGTTCCTTTACTTTTTAATCTTTTCCTCCTGCTTTCTTGCATACTTCTTCAGTTCCTGTACAGTAAAACAATGTCATAGTCACTATCTATACATCTTCAATGTATGTGGGTTTTTGAATTGGGGACGGAGGGTAGGGCTGTCATTAACCTTTTAACTGGTCTCTCATGGAAGTACAAGTAGCCAGTCATTCATCCCATGAATCCTCCCATGTTTATGTTGGACTCACTTTCAAACTAAGAGTAGGCCAGAGGTTATTATACTGCAGTACCTGGATAAACAAGCCAGCTGCCAGATACTATAGTTATGAAGACAGTCATGGAACCATGAACACACACAATAAAGAAAACATATGAGTAAACATTATTTACCTGGTTATCTTCTTGAAGCCTGAGATATTTATCTTCAAGTTCCTCTCTACTTATCTTTGAGATTAACTGCCGAGCATATATCTCACTAAATGGTCTTCCTTCTAAAAAGAAATTTATAATAGGCAGGCAAACAGAAAATGAAAAAAATATACCTTACACAGTCTACGATGTCAGTGGGAGGCCTAAAATTAATACCCTAGTCGATACTGTTCTAGATGTCCAAACTATTTAGTTAAGTTAATTAACTAGTCAAGGAAGTGGGGACAAGTGATAACAATTAGTGTTATCAGCTCTGCTGCTTCACTGTAAGTCTATGTATTCTATGCAATCCAAAGGACCTCCCTCTATTTTTCCGTCTATTCTAACAGATCAAGGGTGTGGGAGAGTAATCCCTTATAATAATACGATTTCACGTGAACAATTCACAAACAGCTGTTTATGTGCGGAAATCCTACAAAATTCATTAACATGAAATACTGCTGTTAAATAAAGCATACCTCCATCCTCAACTGCAAAGGAGGCGGGTCCATCCATGGCTCGAGAAAATGCCAAAGATTCCGCGATAGCAAATTGTCAGCTGGAAGGAACCTGAACCGCGCTGCAAAACTCGTGTATTCTTTTCACTTTCGTCCTCATTGTCATAAAAAGTATTTAGTCTACTGGCTATTCTTCTGTTGCCAATTATTTCTCAGTGATAAACAAAGCTCAAAACGCTTTACTTGCACACACAATCCAATTTTTCAACCGTGCCATTCGTGCCACTTTCGGTTGCCCCACCATTTTGGAGTCGTTTGATCATGCGGTTTCTGTTGCAGAGCATGCTCATTATGCTACTCCCTCCCCAGTCCCCTGAAATTTGTTTGCGCGCCATACTCTTCATCATAAACACAAATACAAGTTCTCAATTTTAAAATTGAAATATCCGCGGCGCAGCTACAGATTTTATAAAATCCAGATTACTGTATTTTGTCCTCAAGAACAGAAAAGATGCGCATTCTCGTAGGTTTGTAAAGTTTCCAATATTCTCGTAACGTTAGTATATTATTACGTAACACTTCAGTATATAAAGACCATGTGAAAAGCTGCAGAAAGAAGGATACAAGGAGAGGAAAAACGATAGCACGGGTACAAGGAGGAGAAAATATTTACATTTACTGCAGTGGATTAGATCGAAAGGTGTTCCGATGGAGGAATCACCCCGCTTCATTGGAGGAGTCTGAGGTCCTCCTCAGGGAAAATTGTTTTTTTTCTTTTTTGGGGTGGGAGGGGTGGGGGGGTTGGTGGGTTGGGGTGCTTAAAGATTATTTCTGTGCATTTTGAGTGACCTGGGAAAGAATTCTACCAATGAAGATAGCACTTTTATTTAGCTAGGCATTCTTTATTTTATTTGCAAACAAAGTACAGGTGTTGAGAGATAAATGCAACCAATTTATTATCCTCCTTAATTAGGGAATTCTTTTTTCTGTGAGTGGCTTGTGTGTTCATGACAAAGTCCTGGGCAATGATATTCGCCAGTCACTGGAGTTTTCTGGAAAACACTGATTGTAAGTGCTACAGTGATACTAGAAGTGGAGGGCCATGCATGGTTACAGATAGCACTTATAATAGACCAATTCCAATAATATATATTAAAATTCATACTTGGCTGTAAGGCTTGGGGGAATAAAACTAAAGAAATGTATTATTTTTTGCTTAGCCTTGAGACGATTTCTGTTGTTTTATTCCCCCAAGCCTTGAGACCAAGTATGAATTTTAATAAATCGAAAAATTGGCCTATTATTGTTAAAATTTATGTATCAGTACATGTAAAAGACATGGTTATTTAAATACTGTAAGAGATTTCTGTTGTTTTATTCCCCCAAGCCTTGAGACCAAGTATGAATTTTAATAAATCGAAAAATTGGCCTATTATTGTTAAAATTTATGTATCAGTACATGTAAAAGACATGGTTATTTAAATACTGTAAGGCATAAATTACATGAACATGTTCCTTCCAGGAGGTGGAACAGGATTTATAGGCAAAGCTTTGGTAGACACCTTGAAACGTGCAGGACATGAGGTCACAGTAATCTCAAGAACTCAAGCACCTGGAAGGATTACATGGGTCAGTTTATTCCAATTCCAAAGTAGTAAACCGAAGTAGTATTCAGATATAGTATTTTTGGTCAGTTAAACTTCCTGTCGATGACTGGCCGACCTAAGTTTATATCAAGCCTATAGTAACTGGTTGCTTCCAGCTTGAGTATAGTCAAATCACGATATTTTAATAGCAATTAAAAGATCTAAAAGCTGGACATCAAAATTACACCAAAAATATCTTTTAGTAATCTAAAATATTGACAGATCAGTTTGTTACCGTGAGTGAAAAGAAAGTCACTGCAGAAAGTACACTGTACAGTATGTTTTTTTAAGAATGTTTAAGTACTGAGTAAGGAATATGAGTGACGTTTTGGTCACTTCTGAGGTCAAAAGGAAATATAAAATGTCATGTCCTGTAAAGGAATAAGGATTGTTTTAATAGGAAAGGTCGCTGGGTGGCTGAGTGCAGCCCATGATTTGACAAAGTAAATTTTAGAATTCAATTAGGAGAGAATGGTCTCTCAGTGGGAGGTGGTCACAAAGTTTTAATTTTATTTAGTTAGAACTTAGTTGTAACTCGCCAATCTTGGTAATCTCTCTATGTCTCTACCTTAAATAGAATGAAATTACCCAGTCACCTTTGCCTGAATGTGAGGCTGTGGTCAATCTTGCTGGCGAGAACATTCTAAATCCTCTGAAAAGGTAACAAATTATTTCCTGCAGTTGGGTAACGGTGTTTATGATATTAAAACTTGTTAAAATGAAAAGTTTCAGTTAGGCTAGGTATAATATTAAAAAAAGCGCATTCCCATAAGACACCTTGTTTGCCCCCCTCTAAAATAAATTGCGAAGGCATTGTGTTCAATCTCTCTTGGAACAAGTACTGGAATAACAAGGAATAATAAATCTGTAAAACAACAGTTTTTCAAAATTTGGGGGGAGGAAGGGCAAACAAGGTGTGCTTAGGAAAAATGTGTTTCTGTAGGATGAATAGACTCAGGATTAAACAGACTCAGGCTATTTATATTAACACCCCCAGTTTCATTCCTAACCTCCTAGCATTGTGGTGTCAATGTAGGCTTAAAACTGAAAAACCACCTACTGTTTTGGTTACTTTTAAAAACCAATTTTTACATTAAACATTACAATTCACCTAAGAGTCAAAGTCCAAAATTGTAGACCTACACTTTGGGCATTTACTTTTATTCATTGACGTCCTTATCTTTTTAACAGGTGGAATGAAACTTTTTTACAAGAATTAAGGCAAAGTCGCATTGAGACAACACAGACATTGGCCTCGAAAATAGCAGATGCAGCAGTTCCACCTAAAGTTTTTGTCACATCTTCAGCTGTTGGTAGGCTTATTCCTTTCCATGTTTTAAGGACGCCAAATCATTATTTTTTTTAATTTTCTTCATAGCTACGTGAAGCAGCAGGAACAAGGGTTTTTTTATGCATAGGCTTAAATGCCCTCATCTCTTGCATCTGTTGCAACTAGCCTCCCATGCAGCCATTCTTCGGGGTTCACTTGTCATATGCTCCTCTCCCCAACATGGGGAAGGTGCAAGTGACAAATGGACCCCTAGCGATGTTTGCATAGTGGCTAGCTCACCACTTGCTTGGATACATGTGGTGCTTCCATATAAAAGACTGTTTGGAATCTACTTCTTATATGATGTCTAAGGGATGGCATATTTTTTTGGGGGCTCAGATTTCTTTCAGCTCAGGTCGTCATTGCAAATGGTTCATGTCTCTCCTCAGTCTTACACCTTGTTTTCATTCTCCAAACCTTTCATTTGACTCCACACAAGTTCTTAACCTTCTCAAAAATATGGGCTATTTTACAGCCTAGGTTATTTTTCATCTTAAACGTCACTCGCTCTTCTCAATCTGCTGTTTTATGCATTAACTTTCCTTTCTCTTTTTAGGTTATTATCCTGCAAGTGAGACTGAGGAGTACACTGAGGATTTCCCCCCCAGCTCTGCTGATACACTGACAAGACTTTGTAAAGACTGGGAGAACAGTGCTAAACTTCCTGACAACTGTACAACCAGACTGGTTACCTTACGGATTGGGGTGGTGCTGGGCCGAAGTGGAGGAGTTATACAACAGACAATTTGGCCTTTTTGGTTTGGACTTGGAGGTACAATGTACAGTACACAATTAGGAGAATTGCAGTCGTTTCAACCCAAAGTCGATTCGCCTGATCGCGTTTTGCTCGGACTTAAGTCGATTCACCTGTTAACATACAACACTCCGCAACGTGGTGACCATGTTGTGGTTTAATCTTATCCTTGGTTTAATTTTTATTTCTCTTTGTTTTGGTGCTTGGTTATGTGTGATAATGAGTTTAGAACAAAGGAAAATAAAAATTAAACCAAGGACAAATTGAACCACAATATACATACTTGTCAGAGATGTTGTTCTAGTTAAGCTTGGATTCCACATGTGTAGTCACTGTCTTTTCAGGATTATTCCTTTTTTTAAACCAAAAAATGACAAAAATACAGCAGGCGAATCGAGTTAAGCCCAGGCGAACTGACATCGGGCGAATCATCCTTTAAGCGAAACGACCTGATACCACTTTTAAGGGTTAGCGTAGGTTTATGACAGCCATATATCGTATCATGGCTATCAGAAGAGTGCTTCACTAAAAATAACTGTCAGAGACTCTTAATCCTGAAGAGTTTCAGACCTGCGACGGTAAGGTACTTCCTTGATCGTTCTAATCATCCTACACTCTAGTAAAGACATGGCAATCTTTGGTATCTCCTTTTACCAAGGCAATACAGTCGTGTCCAACGTTAGCGAGCTTAAGCAAAGACGACAACCCGCCATCATGGGCAGTGAAAACGTCGCTAAAAAATGAATCTGCCGTCCTTTTTCAAAGCTCTATTTGGACCCGCTCAATTTGTCGAATGTAGGCCATTTTTCCTGGAGTGAATTCTTAAGGAGTTTATCCAGGTTNCAACGTTAGCGAGCTTAAGCAAAGACGACAACCCGCCATCATGGGCAGTGAAAACGTCGCTAAAAAATGAATCTGCCGTCCTTTTTCAAAGCTCTATTTGGACCCGCTCAATTTGTCGAATGTAGGCCATTTTTCCTGGAGTGAATTCTTAAGGAGTTTATCCAGGTTCAAAAAAAGTAAGGAATATTTGTCGTCTTATCTTCACGGCCACGCCCACCATAAAGCATCATATTAGGACGTTTCACGTTTAAATCGCGCATTTTTTTTTTTGGCGTTGTCGTCGTCGTCGGCCCGTTCCAGTGCGGGTACATTGGAAAATGATCAAGCAATAGGGAAAGACCCAAAACTCTTAAAGAAATATTTATCTTTGAAATCAACACTTTATATCCCCACCCAATCAAATTCAACTAATTAACATTTTCTCCCAGGTGTGATTGGAAGCGGCAAGCAACATTTTCCTTGGATTCACATCGACGATATGACCGGAATAATTACACACTCCCTCGAGAACGATCACGTGACCGGTGTATTGAACGCAGTGGCACCTGAAATTGTAACAAACGAGCGCTTTACCAGGGAATATGGGAGTGTCCTGTGGAGACCCACCTTGATTCCGGCTCCCTCATTTGCATTAAATTTAATGTTCGGTACTGAGCGCGCCAAAATTCTCTTGGAAGGACAGAAGGTTATTCCCAAACGAACACTGGAGATGGGGTATAGGTTCAAGTTCCCAGAATTGAAAGCTGCCATGAAAAATATTCTCAGCTAAATTATCAGTCGTTCCACATCTCGTCTTTGTTATGACTGGACAAGTTGGATCAGAGGGAACCCACACGATAATCTCGATAAAAACGATTACTCACTTACACTTACAGATTGTGTGGTTGAACGTATTTTTTGTAGGAATTGCCAATTTTTGGTTCCTCGATTGTGAAAGGTTTAAGAAAGTGTACTTCTGCTTGCATTCTCAATCTTGAACTGCTCGAATAGCTGCGAACCTTATTTTGTACTTCAATAAAGTTTTGGTCCTGCGGCGAAGTTGTACTGGAAAACAGTTGCTCAGATTAGAACAACTTGTTCACGAAAGGAGCAATACTTGAAATAAGAAAAGAGGCTAAGACATCCGAGGTAATATAAGAATATATTTTAAGACCAAAGAGATAAATAAACCGAAGTGAAGAAAAGTAAGTCTGCCTGTTAGTTATTGATTGTTTTAGCAAACCTCTTTTCCTGGGTCGTGCCTCTTCCAGTTGGAGGAATAAAACGTAAAACTTACACTGATTGCTCCATTGATTTGTATCAATAACATGATCAGAATCAATTTCTATGATTTCTTGGTTATGACTGACAAACCGGGGCAACTCCCACCCTGGTAATGAAAATTTGGAAAAAATGCACGTGGAAGACGTTTCAATATCAGAGTGTATCACCAAGAACAGCTGAGTGATACGTTGATGAGTCGAAACCCGACTCCATCTGTTCTTGGAGTGGGACCAGAATAGAAAGGCTGGCTTAGCGACAGTTGACGACGGGAAAGCGTCTGGAAAAGACTAAACACGACTTCCGGTGCCCAATTTTCCGCTCTGCCATTTGTCAAGCCAGTTGTGTGATTTGCGCGAGCCGTCGTCAACTGACGTTCCCGTTCGGTTGCTAAATCAGCCTAAATGTCGATTTCAGGGGACGAGCATATTGACTGGGGTATTGAGCGGGAGTGGCACCAGGAATATGAATAAACAATAGCTTAACACAGAGGCCTTTCAGAGCTCGACGATGATCAGCAAAATTCATATTTATTGTTTAAGAGACATACTAGTGCTAGATAGAAAGATAGTTGTAACTGCGAACCTTGCAGTGGTACGGTCCTCCGCATTATAAATGCGCTAAATAGCAACACTCCGCTATAAAAAGTATTAGAACTCACTTAAGATCAGCGAACAAAACTATTCTGAAACAAGTGCCTTAAGGTTGTTCAATACTGGCAGACGAAAACATTTCCAATGGTTTACGTTTTTCATGTTTTTGAGCTGGAGGTTGGGGGGGTGGAGAAAGTCAGACCTGTTTATGTTGGGCTTTAGTTCTCTCTGGATATATCCAGCTCTGGTTATTCTCTGCGTAATTTAGATTCCGTAGTTATAGTATGTTCGTATGAATTTCTCGTAATCTGTTGCATACCAGGTTAACCAAATAGGCCTTGAAAGACTGATTTGCATCGCGTTATACCTGCCGGTGAAAATCTTATCACTACGTGAGAAAAAAACCTAACAAATGGCGATCAAGTCCCTTTAAAAACTAGAAATTGTTTGCTTTTTATGAAACTTCTGAAACCGTCCTTGAATTTGCGGAGCTCTCCATAGAAACAAAAATCGTTCTTTTTCTACGTCATGTTTCATCTTTCTCGCAACAGTGGATATCTAAGACATTATCACGGGCACCTGGGTCTAACCACGTTTCTTCCAATTAACATGAGAAAAACCCAAAAAACGAAGTTGTCATTAATCGACATCGTGATCACTTTTTAAGTGAGCCCACAATGCATCAGCAGAAGTAATCCAATTGTTGGCGATCCATTTGACTCCAGACCACACCCCACAGCCGCCGTGCAGGGAGTATTCGTCCATTTCACCCATCCAGCCGGTCTCTTCGTCCACAAAGTGATTGTACCACATGATCGCTTTGCCTCGCTTCGGTGCTACAACTAAGTTTCCATCATGACAGTACTGCATGAGATTGAACTTGTCATCTTTCAGCGAATCGATGTATGTCTGGCAAATAAGAGAAAGATGGTTCACAAAGGCAAAGAATACCTTATCGTTTGAAAAACGGAGCTCGAACGAAAGGTCATGCGATTATGTGATTACTGGTTTCTAACAGTACAGGAAACTCCTGACTGTGGCCAACCAATTACAATATCAGCTAATCACAGGAAAGTTCTCAACAAGGGTGTCTGACCTTGTTTGTTCGCCCGAGCCAAACAAAAATGAGAAAATCGTTTAAATTTCAAAGTGATTGTAGTTCAGGTTAAGTTGCCGTTAAGATGTATTTGCAAAAAAGTAATACTGAGAATTGGGGAGCCGAGAAAAAATTTCTTGCACCGAACACAGAAATGATCTTGTTAACAAGGTAAAAATCCCTAGCAATGAACATCAGTATCGTAATATGAAATCTCATTGCCAATCCTTTAAGCTCTATTTGATCTAGCAGTTGTGACTACATTAACTCGAGACGCAAAGATGTTTGTTTGGTTCATGTAACTGGATTTCTACTGTGAGTAAAGTCTACGCTTTCTGTCACGGGTATTTTTACTTTTACTTCATTTTCAAAACAGAGAGCTGGTCATGGTATTGCTTAAATGTGCCACATATGCGCCTCATTGCATGCATGGTTGCAAGCAGGAAACAAGGTTAAATGCAATCAGCATTTTACGAAACATTCCACAGGCAAAGAAAGGTTATCAGTACTTGATATTTTATATCTACTTATGTTAAACCTGTTTATCAAAAGTGGCATTATCCACCACAGGGAAAGCTGTTTCTCCTCCATCTTCAATGTCATTTAGATAATACAGGATAGTAGCATATCTGAAAAGGAAAAAAATGTATTACTAACAAAGACGACAACCCGCCATCATGGGCAGTGAAAACGTCGCTAAAAAATGAATCTGCCGTCCTTTTTCAAAGCTCTATTTGGACCCGCTCAATTTGTCGAATGTAGGCCATTTTTCCTGGAGTGAATTCTTTAGGAGTTTATCCAGGTTTAAAAAAAAGTAAGGAATATTAATTTTTGTCGTCTTATCTTCACGGCCACGCCCACCATAAAGCGTCGCATTAGGAAGTTTCACGTTTAAATCGCGCAGTTGACGTCAAAAAAAAAACATACTACGTAAAAGGCGTGATGCAAGTGCAGAACTGTTGTTTTGCTTAAATACCAATTATTTTTTTTTTTTTTGACGTTGTCGTCGTCGGCCCGTTTCAGTGCGAGTATATTGGACAATCATCAGGCAATAGGGAAAGACCCAAAACTCTAAAAGAAATATATCTTTGAAATCAACACTTTAAATCCCCGCCCAATCAAATTCAACTAATTAACATTTTCTCCTAGGTGTGATTGGAAGTGGCAAGCAACATTTTCCTTGGATTCACATCGACGATATGACCGGAATAATTACACACTCCCTCGAGAACGATCAAGTGACCGGTGTATTGAACGCAGTGGCACCTGAAATTGTAACAAACGAGCGCTTTACCAGGGAATATGGAAGCGTCCTGTGGAGACCCACCTTGATTCCTGCTCCTTCATTTGCATTAAATTTAATGTTCGGTACCGAGCGCGCCAAAATTCTTTTGGAAGGACAGAAGGTTATTCCCAAACGAACACTGGAGATGGGCTACAGGTTCAAGTTCCCAGAATTGAAAGCTGCCATGAAAAATATTCTCAGCTAAATTATCAGTCGTTGTACCTCTCATTTTTGTTATGACTGGACAAGTTGGATCAAAGGGAACCCACACGATAATATCGATGAAACGATTACTCACTTACACAAAAAGATTTTGGTGTTGACCGTACTTTTTTGAGACTTGCCAATTTTTGGTTCCTCGATTGTGAAAGGTTTAAGAAAGTGTACTGCTGCTTGCATTCTTAATCGTGAACTGCTCGAATAGCTCCGAACTTTATTGTGTACTTCAACAAAGTTGTTGTCCTGCGGCGAAGTTGTTTGGGGAAAACATTAGTTCAGAACAAACTGTTCACGACAGAAGCAATGCTTGAAATAAGAAAAGAGACTAAGACATCCGTGGTGATAATTTATAAGAATATATTTTAAGACCAAAGGGATAAATAAACCAAAATGAAGAAAAGTAAGTCTGCCTGTTAGTTATTCATTGTTTTAGCAAACCTCCTTCCTGGGTCGTACCTCTTTCTCGGTGGAGGGACAAAACTTAAAACTGACACTGGCATGCTCCATTGATATCAATAACATGATCAGAATCAATTTCTATGACTTCTTGGTTATGACTAACAAAGCTAGGCAACTCCCACCCTGAAATCAAAATTTGAAAGAAATGCACGTGGAAGACGTTTCAATATCAGAGTGTATCACCAAGAATAGCTGAGTGATTCGTTGAAGTTGTCCAAACCCGCCTCCATCTGTTCTTGGAGTAGGATCAGGATGGAACATCAATAGGCTGGTTTAGCAACAGAACGACAGTTGACGACGGGAAAGCGCGTGGAAAAACCTAAACACGACCTCCGGTGCCCAATTTGCAGCTCTGCCATTGGTCAAGCCAGTTGTGTGATTTGCGCGAGCCGTCGTCAACTGACGTTCCCGTTCCCGTTGGCGTTCCCGGAACGAGCATATTGACTGGGGTATTGAGTGGATGAGCGAGAGAGGCACCAAGAATATGAATAAACAATAGCTTAACCGAAGCCTTTGAGAGCTCAACGATGATCAGCAGAATTCATATTTATTGTTTAAGAGAAGTACTGATTCTAGAAAGCCAGTTGTAACCGCGAACCTTGCAGTGGTATGGCCCTCGCATTATAAATACGTTAAATAGCAGCACTTCGCCATAAAAAGTATTAGAACTCACTTAATACCTGAACAAAACTATTCTGAAAGGATTGCCTCGAGGTTGTTCAATACTGGCAGACGACAACATTCCCAGCGGTTGACTTTTTTCATGTTTTTGAGGTGGAGGAAGTCAGATCTGTTTATGTCGGGCTTTAGTTCCCTCTGGATATATATATCCTCTCGTTATTCTCTGCGTAATTTAACTTCCGTAGTTATAGTATGTTCGTATGTATTTCTCGTAATCTGTTGCATAGGTTAACCGAATAGGCCATCAAAGACTGATTTGCATCGATCGCGTCATGCCTGCCGGTGAAGATCTTATTACTACGTTAGTCAAAACCTAGCAAATGGCAAAAGTCCCTTTAAAAACTAGAATTTGTTTGCTTTTCATGAAACGTCTGAAACCGTTCTTGAATTTGTGAAGCTCGCCATAGAAACAAAAATCGTGCTTGTTCTACGTCATGTTTCATCTTTCTCGCAACAGTGGATATCTAAGACATTATCCCAACCACGTTTCTCCCAATTAACACGAAAAAAGCGCAACGAAGTTGCCATTAATCGACATCGTGATCACTTTTTAAGTGAGCCCACAATGCATCAGCAGAAGTAATCCAATTGTTGGCGATCCATTTGACTCCAGACCACACCCCACAGCCGCCATGCAGGGAGTATTCGTCCATTTCACCCATCCAACCGGTCTCTTCGTCCACAAAGTGATTGTACCACATGATCGCTTTGCCTCGCTTCGGTGCTACAACTAAGTTTCCATCATGACAGTACTGCATTAGATTGAACTTGTCATCTTTCAGCGAATCGATGTATGTCTGGCAAATAAGAGAAAGATGGTTCACAAAGTCAAAGAACACCTTATCGTTTGAAAAACAGAGCTCGAACGAAAGGTCATGCGATTATGTGGTTATTGGTTTCTAACAGTACAGGAAACTCCTGACTGTGGCCAACCAATTACAATATCAGCTAATCACAGGCAAGTTCTCAACAAGGGTGTCTGACCTTGTTTGTTCGCCTGAGCCAAACAAAAATGAGAAAATCGTTTAAATGTCAAAGTGATGGTAGTTCAGGTTAAGTTGCCGTTAAGATGCATTTGCAAAAAAGTAATACTGAGAATTGGGGAGCCGAAAAAAATTTCTTGCACCGAATACAGAAATGATCTTGTTAACAAGGTAAAAATCCCTAGCACTGAACATCAGTATCGTAATATGAAATCTCATTGCCAATCCTTTAAGCTCTATTTGATCTAGCAGTCGTGACTACATTAACTCGAGACGCTCTAAAGATGTTTGTTTGATTCATGTAACGGGATTTCTACTGTGAGTAGAGTCTACGCTTTCTGTCACGGGTATTTTTACTTTTACTTCATTTTCAAAACAGAGAGCTGGTCATGGTATTGCTTAAGTGTGCCACATATGCGCCTCATTGCATGCATCGTTCCAACCAGGAAACAAGGTTAAGTGCAATCAGCATTTTACGAAACATTCCACAGGCAAAGAAAGGTTATCAGGTACTTGTTATTTTATATGTACTTATGTTAAACCTGTTTATCAAAAGTGGCATTATCCACCACAGGGAAAGCTGTTTCTCCTCCATCTTCAATGTCATTTAGATAATACAGGATAGTAGCATATCTGAAAAGGAAAAAAATGTATTACTAAATGATTTCCTTTTAAATTGCAAACTCAATACTCGGTTGCACAGGAAGAAGATGTGTGTGAGGTGCATGGTGCAATTGGAGATGTTTAGATCGTTATGGTTCAGGAAATCTCTCGACCTACCCTTCCCCCAACCCAAAATTAACACTAACCCATCACCTAAAGTATAATGTTGGGTTATGGGAGAGGTAGGTGGAGATTCTCCCAGTCCACAGTTTATTTCGAAATCTCTCCTCTTCAGTTATGTCTTCTTTCAGTCACTTGGAATTTAGCCAGAATTGAGTGAAAATTCACAGAAGCTATGAAAAGCTAACGAAACAGGTTTACCTGCAAACTCTGCAATTTGGCAATAGAGATAGGTCCAAATGACAGCACTTTATATGCGATATGTTCCCCACTTGCTGACTGTCGTAGTGTGCATTGTAATGACCATTTCTATCATACTTCACCACCTGGAAAGTAGGGTGAAATCCGAATAACATATGACTCAAAATGGCACCTATTGGTTAAGCGAGGTGAGTGAAGGGCAGATCGAAGAAGGAATATCCACTAAGGGTCGAATCAACTTCTCCACAGAACAGTTTGCAACATCCTTTTTTTTTTTAGTCAATTTTCAACAATTGGCCTGCTCTTCAGCTATAAACAGGATCCTATCTCTTATCAGACCTGAGGTTTTCAGGTTTCTAATTCAGCCGCTTTGACTCTCAATTAACTGCAAGGACTACGTTCACTGTTATTTAAAAGATTACAACAGCCATGAGTTTGGCTGTCGAGGTTATTATCCTTTTAATCAGTATAAATTGCTAATATAATTAATTGCTAACATAAGAATAGACATTTATACCTGGAGAGGTTCACCACCGCGAATTGTTCGATCTGAGAGTCTTGTCAGCTTAGTGATTCTGTTAAAATAAAGTAAAGCATGTACTTGAATTATTTAAAGGAGCTGTGTCACGAAATTCAGTCAAATTAGGACATTACAAAATGCCCGTTAAATTAAGAGAAACATAAAAATAACCGCTTAAAACTTTAAAGGAAGGTTAAAATAACAAAACAGAAAAAACAGATGCCACGGATGGGCAAAACTGAAGAAGATGGAAACGGATTGAAATTACGGTTTTTGAAAACTGTTCAGCCTAACGGGTTTTCAAAGTTGATCCCTGCTGTTTGCAACTTCAAAAATAACGCTCAGGAAACATATTTGTTTGTCTCGGATCTCTGATTTTGTTATTTACCTATAATTCCATACACTCTTTTTTATTTATAATAATGTTATTTTTCCGGCCCAGGCTGAATATTCTTATTTTTCTGCCGATTTTAGGCTGAAAATATTCTTGTATTATTTCGAATTATTCTTAAATTATAGCTTATGACATTTCCGTTTTAGAATTTATTGAGGTATATGTATATGTATTACATGTACCGTTCATCGAACTGTCATTAGCGTTGAACATTTTGCTATAGCTAGTGCAGGTTTTTTCGTTTTGTTGCCTAGTTTCGCCGTTCAGAGAAAGGAATAATTTTATAGTTAAAATTGTATTTACTGATGATTCAACACACAAAATTATATCTATCCTTTTCAAAGTCTCAGCCTTGGCTTTATTCTTAAAATATTCTTAAAATTTCGCAAATTTCAGCCTCGATATTCTTATTAAATATATTCTTACAAAAAAAAAGAGTGTAGCGATAGGGAGAGTAATTGGCAAGTAAACAAAATGAACTGGACTGCCGTGGCACAGCCCCTTTAAATCACTGATGGTGGTTCTGGCTTGACGAGGGGGTTGCGGTGGAGTAAGCAGTTGGCCTCAATTGTACCGTTGAAAATCTGTTTTAACAGTCAGGCGAGCTTACCTCTTCCTCAAATGTCGTAATACGTCATCAGCAAACTTCCCTTGTAACAACCAGGCCTGGTTGCTAAACCTCTCTCTATGTGCTGGATGCGTTTCTTTTATGTTATTCATGTATTGATCCATGGCAGCAGTAGGTAGTGTTTTAAACTCCTCATGTGTTACTTGATCTGCAAAAAGTTCAATAAAAACAGTAGAATGTCCGTTTCGTACACCTTCCAGGTAAACCCCGTAACGACTTCATTCAACGTTTTCACAATGTCCACGCCCAAAATAAATCTCCTCTGTACATTTCTGTTTCTTGATTAGCAATATATGTCCACGCAGTTACTAATTCCTCAGAGATACTTTCGAAGGGGAAAACTTAAGCAGTCAAAATATATATCTTAAGGATCTAAATGCCAGGGAAAGAGATGGACTTAAGAAGTCGTCGCGGAGTCTTAAACGGACTCTAGGAAGACTTTCACAAGATAATCCGACAAATTAATATGCTTCTCTTACCGTCATCAAACTCCTCTATGTTAAGCTTGCTTATCCTAAAATCCAAATATAGACCAACATTTGCTCTTAGATACCGCAGACAAATTCAGCCGCTCTAAGAATTGTTCGTGTCAAAATAAATACGTACTCACATGTCATCTACCTCCGTCGGGTCGAGATAAAGAAATTTAAAACCCTCAGCAAATTCAATAACCTAAAATGGTAGAAAAATTGAATAGGGTAAATAGTTAGAGGAATTTTGTATAAATAAATTTAAAAGCATACTCAAGAGCCTTGCTTGTATCTGCTTTAACGCTCACGTCACTGAAACGTTTTCAGCCTCTTTCGTGCCTCAAAAATGGCGTGACTAAGACTACTCTGCTGTTTTCAAGAAAACACCAAGATGTATCTGTCAGTTTTCTATACGTTTGAAACATAAAATACTATTTACTTCATCTCTAGTGATGACACCATCTCCGTTTTTGTCCCAGTAATGGAAGGATCCTGCTTTACCACTGGCTTGTCCTGAAGAAAGAGTTGTTAAGAACTAGTTAAAAATCCAGTCTTAAACGATACATTACCTCATACATATTTTAGACTGAGTCGGTGTTGTGTCGAATTGCACTGTGGGACTAATTTAGAGAATTTGCTGTGGTAATGTGCAAGCCTAGCATCGAACATCGAGAGTTAGAAAAGAGTGTGAGAAATAAACATGAGTGTGTAACAACTACAGTTAAACCAACGTTCTGTCGAATTTCGAGTCCCGTTTAAGCTAGTGTAAACGCAAACAAACATGCCCGTTTACGGCAGTCCAAACGTGAACAATACGCGTTTAACGGTAACTAACTAAGGCCGAGGCCAAACGTCAAACTTTTCATGAGACGAAACAAGCTCTAATTCGGGTCGATCTAACTTAAGTCACGATCGTCTGTTGGGTCAGACGTCGAACTTAGGACCCGTATAGCCAATAAACTAAATCGTACCGAAAAGCAGTTTTAAACAATTTACTCCCGAACAAGGCTAAGTATATAATACAGTATGATACAAATATCTAATTTATTTGTTTAGTTCGTCGCATATGAAGATCAACGTAACGTTTGTTCCGGAGAAGATCTACAGACGTTCTATCCGTCTGATTAGCACACGGATAGAGCGTGTTGGACTGTCGATCCAAACTCATTTAGACGAACTCAACTGAGCCAGACGTCGAACTTTTCATGAACTTAACCCACAAGTTGGTTCGTCTCATGAAAAGTTCGACGTTTGGCCGTTGGACAACCCTTCATCGGCATACCTTGCAAAAATTCTTTTCGCTGGTTAAGCTCCTCGTCAAGATGTACATCACTTCCACGGAGACCAACCCTTTCAGCTAAACTGATGATGTGGTTGCATTCGTTCTCGCTCAGAAAATCTGGAATTTCTAACCAAAAGAAAACAAAAGTGACAGGTCATGTCACGTCTTTTTGGTATTATTTATGTATTTCAAAAGAAATTTTGTTAATGGGAATATTCTTCAGTGTATAGCCCGATATAATTATAGGTTTATGAAACTCAAACCTAGTCCGGTTGGCCTGATGGACCAAAAAAAACTGATAGATATTTTGATCTCAGTTATGTTCCCGCGGCCAGGAAGTGTTTCAATTTTTAGTTCCATTCATTTATTAGTTTTTTTCTCTATTTATTCAAGTGGATCTTTATAATAGTTTTGGCAACTGAACTCTTAGAGCTCGTTTTTTTCCTACTTGCCGTTCAAACGTCAAGACAATGCGATATATTACAGATGGAGTGGATAGGCGAGTAGGAATTGTAAAGTAAATGAAAGTCACTAGGTCCCGGGACGTGTTCGCCATCACTTGTTTTCTTAGACAGAAATTTTTCCCGCATTTTTTTCGCTGTCTGCCCTTGTATAAGAGTACTGGTGACCCAACATCCGGGAAAACCTTGGAATGAATGGCCAAGCAACCAGGACATTATAGGAATACCTTAACAATCAAAGACGACACAAGCTTCATTTGCAAACTAAGAGTTCTGAAATGTTGGAAGTTTTGGGATCTGGTTAGCCTAAAAATTCTTATTTACTTACCAAATAATGGAGGCTTGGAGGAGAGTGTTATCATTTTAAACTTTTTTCCTGGTTCTAATTCTAATTCTCTCACGTGACCTTTCTACGAAAAGAGAAAACGTAAAATAGGTCAGAGTACTGCAATACCTTGCTCATTGTGGGGCTACATGACGGTGATACAAGTTTCGAGGTCACTTTTTGCCGCTGCGCACACGCTAACCGTATAACGTAATCATTGGAAAAACTCGAGTTTTGGCAGAATGCAAGCAGAATTCGCGAAAGCTTATGAGGACAAGTACAAACAGGAGTCTGGCACTAATGAGTAAAACATAGTAGTAGCCTCCTCGCCTTGCTCCAGTGTTTAATCTTTTTGTGCCAACATTATATTAGAGATCTTTAAATTGTGAGCCTAGTACTACTACGAGTAAGAGATTTTCTCAATACTAGCTAAGTAGGGCTTGCGCGTGAACCAGCGTCATTTTGGCGGGAAAACATGATTGCCGTTGTCATTCCACTACGAGTTTTAGCGAGAATGTCGTTCGAATGTCGTGGTAACGGAAAAAAATTAAAAAGTGTTGGAGGTTTTATCATTTTGGGGCTGGGAGATGGCTTAAGCTCCTTCACTTAGGATAACAGTGTTAATTTTTTTGGTGAAAAAGAAGTGCAATGAAGCTTGCCGGGGTGTCCATAACTGAAGAATACGCCAAAAAACTTTGAGTCAAATATCGTACTCGTTCACGTCCTAGAATCTAAAGGTCTCTATTATAGCAGCATTCTATTGCTAATTTTTATGATTGCTTGCATTTATAAGCAAGCGATTATTGCTTATAACTTACACCGCCATTTTATGTTTTAACCACAAAATAAATTGCGGGAAGATCGAAATGGACATAACACTCACAGCAGCTGTATTTTACCACCATTTTATGTAAATGGTCAGCATTTCACAGGTACCATTTTTATTTATTCTGTTTCGGCAGGTACCCTCATGATATGAACTTCGCCTGCTTTTAAGTGTTGTAGTTTTCTAATGTCAAATCGTTGGCCAACATCGATTTTACCAACAATCGAATCGGAAAGATTAATTTAAAGTTCTAAATGAATGTTAACTTTTGGTAACTAAACTGCCTCTTGGGTACAATCAACAACGAACGAATTTGCCAATCAAAAGGAGGGGTATAGAATGGTAAATTCGAGACCTTGCGAGACTGCGAGACCCCAGTTTCAAAATTCTTGAAACAAAATCGAGAATCCGAGACTCAAAATCACCCGAAACCTGACTTCGAGACCCATCTGAAACCGGCATTCGAGGTTTCGTGATCGGGCTTTCCGAGACCCACATTTTTGGAGGAGCCATTCTATACCCCTAAAAGGATTTATCGTATTGGACTGCCTTCGACAAATCGCACATAATATATCCTTTATTGATAATTTCAAACATAAAATAACACTAGAGGGGCACTCTGAAAATCTACTGAGTACAACAGAACGAAGAGCCGTATCTCCAATCGATTGATAAAGAGGTTAATCGCTCTCTGATAGAGACTTAGTACCGACATGATTATGAGTGCCGAGTTACCGATTTATGATGCGGATCTCACGTGCTTGAGTTAATAAAATGAACATATGGTGATTTGTATGTCTCGAGACTATTGTCATTTTAGATCCAATATGCTTTGTCTTCCTCTAGTTGCAATTAGACTTGAATTTATTCCCTGCATTTAACGACCCTACTCTTTTTATAATGAAAGTGTTGAGTCTCCGAATAAAACCGCTATTCCAAGGAAAGCAGCACCTGACAAGTCATTTCCTTTGGCAACTTTTGCGTTTCTTTAACATCTTTTTCGTAAAAAAAAAAAGAAATACCTTGAGTTTTGCGTTAATTTAGGTAGCCGCCATACGTTCAATAGTTAAAAATCCAGTCTTAAACGATACATTACCTCATACATATTTTAGACTGAGTCGGTGTTGTGTCGAATTGCACTGTGGGACTAATTTAGAGAATTTGCTGTGGTAATGTGCAAGCCTAGCATCGAACATCGAGAGTTAGAAAAGAGTGTGAGAAATAAACATGAGTGTGTAACAACTACAGTTAAACCAACGTTCTGTCGAATTTCGAGTCCCGTTTAAGCTAGTGTAAACGCAAACAAACATGCCCGTTTACGGCAGTCCAAACGTGAACAATACGCGTTTAACGGTAACTAACTAAGGCCGAGGCCAAACGTCAAACTTTTCATGAGACGAAACAAGCTCTAATTCGGGTCGATCTAACTTAAGTCACGATCGTCTGTTGGGTCAGACGTCGAACTTAGGACCCGTATAGCCAATAAACTAAATCGTACCGAAAAGCAGTTTTAAACAATTTACTCCCGAACAAGGCTAAGTATATAATACAGTATGATACAAATATCTAATTTATTTGTTTAGTTCGTCGCATATGAAGATCAACGTAACGTTTGTTCCGGAGAAGATCTACAGACGTTCTATCCGTCTGATTAGCACACGGATAGAGCGTGTTGGACTGTCGATCCAAACTCATTTAGACGAACTCAACTGAGCCAGACGTCGAACTTTTCATGAACTTAACCCACAAGTTGGTTCGTCTCATGAAAAGTTCGACGTTTGGCCGTTGGACAACCCTTCATCGGCATACCTTGCAAAAATTCTTTTCGCTGGTTAAGCTCCTCGTCAAGATGTACATCACTTCCACGGAGACCAACCCTTTCAGCTAAACTGATGATGTGGTTGCATTCGTTCTCGCTCAGAAAATCTGGAATTTCTAACCAAAAGGAAACAAAAATGACATGTCATGTCACGTCTTTTTGGTATTATTTATGTATTTCAAAAGAAATTTTGTTAATGGGAATATTCTTCAGTGTATAGCCCGATATAATTATAGGTTTATGAAACTCAAACCTAGTCCGGTTGGCCTGATGGACCAAAAAAAACTGATAGATATTTTGATCTCAGTTATGTTCCCGCGGCCAGGAAGTGTTTCAATTTTTAGTTCCATTCATTTATTAGTTTTTTTCTCTATTTATTCAAGTGGATCTTTATAATAGTTTATACTTATGTTAAACCTGTTTATCAAAAGTGGCATTATCCACCACAGGGAAAGCTGTTTCTCCTCCATCTTCAATGTCATTTAGATAATACAGGATAGTAGCATATCTGAAAAGGAAAAAAATGTATTACTAAATGATTTCCTTTTAAATTGCAAACTCAATACTCGGTTGCACAGGAAGAAGATGTGTGTGAGGTGCATGTTGCAATTGGAGATGTTTAGATCGTTATGGTTCAGGAAATCTCCGGACCTACCCTTCCCCCAACCCAAAATTAACACTAACCCATCACCTAAAGTAAAATGTTGGGTTATGGGAGAGGTAGGTGGAGATTCTCCCAGTCCACAGTTTATTTCGAAATCTCTCCTCTTCAGTTATGTCTTCTTTCAGTCACTTGGAATTTAGCCAGAATTGAGTGAAAATTCACAGAAGCTATGAAAAGCTAACGAAACAGGTTTACCTGCAAACTCTGCAATTTGGCAATAGAGATAGGTCCAAATGACAGCACTTTATATGCGATATGTTCCCCACTTGCTGACTGTCGTAGTGTGCATTGTAATGACCATTTCTATCATACTTCACCACCTGGAAAGTAGGGTGAAATCCGAATAACATATGACTCAAAATGGCACCTATTGGTTAAGCGAGGTGAGTGAAGGGCAGATCGAAGAAGGAATATCCACTAAGGGTCGAATCAACTTCTCCACAGAACAGTTTGCAACATCCTTTTTTTTTTAGTCAATTTTCAACAATTGGCCTGCTCTTCAGCTATAAACAGGATCCTATCTCTTATCAGACCTGAGGTTTTCAGGTTTCTAATTCAGCCGCTTAGACTCTCAATTAACTGCAAGGACTACGTTCACTGTTATTTAAAAGATTACAACAGCCATGAGTTTGGCTGTCGAGGTTATTATCCTTTTAATCAGTATAAATTGCTAATATAATTAATTGCTAACATAAGAATAGACATTTATACCTGGAGAGGTTCACCACCGCGAATTGTTCGATCTGAGAGTCTTGTCAGCTTAGTGATTCTGTTAAAATAAAGTAAAGCATGTACTTGAATTATTTAAAGGAGCTGTGTCACGAAATTCAGTCAAATTAGGACATTACAAAATGCCCGTTAAATTAAGAGAAACATAAAAATAACCGGTTAAAACTTTAAAGGAAGGTTAAAATAACAAAACAGAAAAAACAGATGCCACGGATGGGCAAAACTGAAGAAGATGGAAACGGATTGAAATTACGGTTTTTGAAAACTGTTCAGCCTAACAGGTTTTCAAAGTTGATCCCTGCTGTTTGCAACTTCAAAAATAATGCTCAGGAAACATATTTGTTTGTCTCGGATCTCTGATTTTGTTATTTACCTATAATTCCATACACTCTTTTTTATTTATAAGAATGTTATTTTTCCGGCCCAGGCTGAATATTCTTATTTTTCTGCCGATTTTAGCCTGAAAATATTCTTGTATTATTCTTAAATTATAGCTTATGACATTTCCGGTTTAGAATTTATTGAGGTATATGTATATGTATTACATGTACCGTTCATCGAACTGTCATTAGCGTTGAACATTTTGCTATAGCTAGTGCAGGTTTTTTCGTTTTGTTGGCTAGTTTCGCCGTTCAGAGAAAGGAATAATTTTATAGTTAAAATTGTATTTACTGATGTTTCAACACACAAAATTATATCTATCCTTTTCAAAGTCTCAGCCTTGGCTTTATTCTTAAAATATTCTTAAAATTTCGCAAATTTCAGCCTCGATATTCTTATTAAATATATTCTTACAAAAAAAAAGAGTGAAGCGATAGGGAGAGTAATTGGCAAGTAAACAAAATGAACTGGACTGCCGTGGTACAGCCCCTTTAAATCACTGATGGTGGTTCTGGCTTGACGAGGGGGTTGCGGTGGAGTAAGCAGTTGGCCTCAATTGTACCGTTGAAAATCTGTTTTAACAGTCAGGCGAGCTTACCTCTTCCTCAAACGTCGTAA